TAGTTCGATGGATCATCATTATATCTCTCTTTCAATCTAGAGTTACATGTATCTTGAAAAAAAAAAAGAAGTCAACAAATTCAAAAAAATAATAATTCAAGAAAAAATAGTTGAAAACAAAAGGCTGAGCTTGTATATCCACTAGTTGTTACATTGTTTTTTGGTGGTCATTAATTTGCATATGTATTTCTACAAAAACTTCCATCGGACTTGGTTTGCATCCAAAAAGTGTAGCATACATTGTTGTTAGTTAAATATATTTATAAAAAATAATAAATTTATTTAAATTTGAATAAAAATATTTATAAATTCTCAAACATACCCTAGCATGTACAAATTATATATTTATACAACAAAAATATACAATAAAAATTAACATTTTAAAATAAAATTTAAATTAAAAATCTATAGTTTTGCTTACTTAAAACAAGGAATTCTTAATAAAATTTGAATAAGAACATAAAAACTGAGTATTAAGATAGTCAAATTTATAGTTGAAGGTTGATTTGTAATAATTTTGTGTGTGTGTGTGTGTTGGGGGGTGTGTGTGTGCTGTTAGTTGCAAAGAAAAATGAAGGAAGAATAAGAAATAAAAGGGAAAGAAAGGATTGTTGCTCGTCATGTCACAAATTAAATATTACAGATGAATTTACTAATAAATTTATCTGATAAATTTAAATTTATTTGATAAATTTAAATTTATTAGTAATTATATTTGTAAAAATAACACGATATCGTTTTTATTGACTTTTTTTTCTTTTCTTTTCAGTTGTAATTTTATCGGTATATACCAATAAAATATTTATATTGGTATTTATCAATGAATACAATAATGATATATTTACTATGATATATCTATAAAAATACTCTATCAATGTATCTATTTTTATTTATCAATTTTCTAATAGTAACCTAAATTCCTAAACGCATTTTCTAGTAAAAATTCATTAAAATGATGACTAGTACCGCTACAGGAAGGTCCGGCCATCACCCAAGCCTCCACAAATGGCTCTCCATGGATAACCTAATTTGTATAGCAAGGTGGCAACCTCTTTGTTATGAGTTGTCGACATACACCTAATCTGCATAGCAAGGTGTCGATGCTGTGTAGGAAATATTTTGAAAGGGAAACATCTGGTTGGTACTCGGTTGGAGGATATTCCCTCTCCTGCTATGAGTTCTATCAACCCCTTTGCCAATAAATATTAACTCTTGCATGCAAGAGCAGACATGCAGCTGTTCCTGGTTGGAACAATTCTCCAATCGATTTGCAAGAAAATCAAGCAGTTGCAATTAAATAGAATATTAAAATTTATTCAGAGTTGCAAAGATAATAGAAATCGGTGGATAATTTCCTTTCAAAGAGCACTCTTCCAGGAGAACGCCAACAAAAATATAAATATTGTTTTAAAATCTAATTAGGGAGTTCATTCGTTTAAATTATATATCAAGAGGATTGATTCTTATAAAAAAATAATTTTAAGAAATTAAAATAACATAATATTAATGAATTGATAATCGAGTTTTGATATTACCAAAATTTATAAAAGTACTACATCAACTTGAATTAACTATATATATATATATATATTTTATTATTCTTCAACCTAAACCGGTGTGGATCCCTAGTTGACCCGTAATTGACCCGTCGGCTGGTCTAGATTTTGAAACATTGGGTAAAATTACGCAGTTTCACTTGATTGTGTCAGAAACAATTGCAAGATGCAGATTTGCATTATTTCAAGATGCATGGCTATTATGGCATCTTCTATAAGGAAAAAAAAAAAAAAAAGAAGAGCCGGATTCAAGTCCTTCGAAACAATGCTATCTGATTTAGTCTCATCGTGAACTTAATTCATAAACCATAATATTTAATTTCAATTTGAGAAGGGCCTGACCTGGGAGATTTTTTATTACGGCATCTTCCTCCTGACAGAACTGTAGATCGCCTGATGAATAATTTGATCAGACTGCATCAGTGGTACCAGATCAGTTAGGAATTTTGTGAAAAATACCTGGACAAGGGGTGTGTTTGGGCACCACATTCCTAAATTTTGAATTTTTTTAATATTTTTGAATTATATATTGATTTTAAAAATAATTTTTTTATTTTAATATATTTTTAAATAAAAAATTTTAAATTATCACCGTCACCATAAAATAAATACCAAATCAATTATGTTATCCATAAATAAGGTCTATTGCTAGTTTGAATTCCAGTACTCTCCTTTTGTTTTTCCAGTATATGAAAAAAAAATATTAAATGAAAACACTGTAATAATTACGTTATTTTTTGTGATTTTTTTTTTACCGAAATTTATAAACATCCCAACATTTTCACCTCTTTAATATCATTTCTTTCATTAAGAAATATATATATTTTTTAAAGAGTTTCTCCATTTACTCATATTTTTAACAAATTGTTTCCCTTCTTAGGTAATTCTAACCAGATTGTTATGTATTGAGTTGACTTTCATCAAAGAATCTGCCTGCCAAATATTCAGATTTACAGTTAATAAGTACTTAATAAGCAATATTTAACCGTTAATAAGTATTTACCATTAATAAGTACTTAATAAGCAATATTTAAAAATATATGACAATATTAATAGAAAGTAACTTTAGTCAAATATAAATACATCTTGTATGATATAAATTCATTTAAGGAAAATAATTTAATCTATATATATATATATATATATATATATATTCAATTAGAGAACAAATTTGATCGTTTCTTTAATTCTGAATCTATTAATTACCAAAACTTTCTTTCTATTATTTTTCCCATACCTTTTTATTGAATTTCCTTTTCTTTCTTTTTCTTTCTTCAAAAAACATGATTTTTGGAAGGGATTTTCTACCAATTGAATCGATGAGGGTACGTAGGTAAGGTTTCATCATCAAATCAATCAAATTGTAAGAACCCTGTCTTAGAATTTGTCAAAGATAAATATGCAAGTAGTTCTATTCCCAAAATCTTTGGACAGAAACTAAGGAAGATTTGATATAAAAGGCAAAGGTACTGAAATAGATAAAAAAAAACATACCATTATAACATCGTCATCGTGACATAAATACCAAAATTTCCATTTTCTAGAAAATCAAATCAAACTTATTGAACATAACCTCTTTTTTTTTTTATGATAACTTTTAAATTAATTAAAATAATATTATTTATTTTTTATAAAAAAATTAAATTAATTTTAACTGAGTTGAGTGAATTGATACTTAATCATTTTAATTGATTATATCAAATTAAATTATTATTATTTTTTAATTTTAAATTCGAGCTGATTTAAATCCTAAATTAATATACAAAGGCCAAGCAAATATACAAAGGCAAAGCAAAGTTAGCTTTTATAAAGTTAATAAAATGCGAAAAAAGGGACACGCCTTTTAAAATTTTGCTTAATTTCGAATCATGAGATGCTTATAATTACTGAGAAGTTAAAACTATTTTTCCATTGCTTGGAAGCAAGCCCTATCTCATATAAGAAATTGAGAGATGCTCTTCATAAATGTTTTTTTTTTCCTTGCTATTTGTGATTTATTAACCATTAATTAAAAAAATATAAAAGCATGGAAAAAAGAGTGCTTACAAAAATGTTACCCACAGTATGTTAAACCTAATAATTATAAAAATCTTACCCATAGTATGTTTGACCTAATACTCATAAAAATGTACATCCACGGTAAGAATTAACCACCTTTCCAAATGGAAGAAAAGTTTTGAGTGATTGGTTTTCTCTGCATATATTTAAATTTTATTATGGTAATAATTATTTTTTAAAATGTTTTTTATTTAAAAATATATTAAAATATTTTTTTTATTTTTTAAAATTTATTTTTGACATCAATATATCAAACTAATAAAAATATAAAAAATATTTAAAAAAAAATTAAAATCTTTAGTAAACATACATTCAACTTGCACATTGTCAAACAAATTTTTAGGTAATAAAAATAAGAAAAAAATTGAAAAACCATCATCTAAGATGTGCATAGCTAAGGCCTTTAGATATAAATCAAAAGCTTTTAACAATTTTCATGTGTCCATATAAAATATAATGTAAGATGTAGAGAGTATTTGAAAACGTTAATCAACTCATGTTTTTTTTTAAAATTTATTTTTTAAAAATTTATTTTTTTTAAACCAACTCATGTTTTTTTTTAAATTTTATTTTATTAAATATTAATTTTTTTATATTTTGAATCATTTTGATAAGTTGATTTTAAAAATATTTTTTTAAAACTAAAAAAATTATTTTAATGTATTTCAAAATAAAAAAATTTTAAAAAACAATTATAACCACACTCCTAAACAGATGAATATATATTCATAAAATTTAGTTGTTTTAATTTTTTTTCCATTTGAATCCCAACAGGTAAAATAGAAAATTTAAAACAAATTCCATTTACCATCTAAATCAATATTTACTATTAAGATAAAAACAATATAAGTCAACAATAACGATTTCGAATGTTAAATAAATCTTCTTCTCTTATCCAAAGTTAGGTGAATTCTGATAATTCATGAGTTATATATAGATAGCCTCCTTTGTTTACTTAGAACTGAAACTTAAATTCTTTCAGCTTCTCATGAAAAAACTTGAACTTAAAGCTTGAACCCATGCACGTTTTCGGGATCGAGCTATAGCTAGTTTTGCCTATACACGTAGAGAGGTTGTTGGAGGTTGGCAAAAGACCTTCGGATGGTCACCATACTACAAAGCAATCCTTGTTATGATACACATGTCCTAATCAATTTCTTTTCCTGTCTGAATTTTCGTTCCCAAGAAACCCCATAAGTCACAGGCCTCACCTTTTACATATAAGAAGCCTTTGCCCCCCTCGTCATCTCTTTTGTGTTCTTATTTCACGACCCAATCTGAAAAACACTCTTTAACCCACAATCTTCTTCTTCTTCTTTTTTCTTTAACCCACAATCTTCATCTTCTTAGCTGGTGCCCTTTCTTTTTTTATTTAGCTCATGCCCAATTGCAATTGGGGGGTTCTATTTGTCCACTCTGACATTATCAGAAAGAATCCCTTGTTTCTCTACGTAATCAACTCATTTTTCCCTTGAATAATAAAATACCATCAACTGAATCCGAACCCCAATAAAACCCGTTTCATTTCTATAGGTTATAAGCTTTAAGGGAACATACACCTCTTCTTCATTGCCACCTTCTCCCTCTACTCGAATCCCCATTAAACAAATCAACCCTTCACGGCTTCACCTATACATATACATACATACATACATACATACATACATACATTGCATTTATTTATGCAAACAAGGACCATAAACCATTGAAGTCCGCTTCTTTATTTCCTCTCTCTCTCTCTCTCTCTCATGCTCTCATAGAGAAAAGCAAATTCTCCCCCACCCTTGAAGCAAAGGAGGCATCAACTTTAACTTTTTTTATTATCTCTTTTTCTGGTTTCTGGGCCCTCGTGCATTCATTGTGATCTGCGTTCAAAATGGGGTTCTGTCAAGGCACTTGTGGAAACACAAAAAAGCCATCAAATAGCTCTACTTGCGATGCTCTCTCCGCTTCAACTATCATAGACAAAGATTATTCCTTTGACTATGATAATGAGCTGAAAATGAAAGGTTTTTTGTCAAAAATGTTTTGGCAATCTGGCTTGGCCTGTTTTTTACCAAATGAGAGTGATGAAACCATTAAAAAGAGTAATAACAAGAATGGAAGTTTAGAACACAACAAGGCATGGCTGCTGGCAGAGTCCGGTGGTTGTGGTAGTGGTTCAGAGTTAACAAATGCTGATCCACACTCAGTTCACTCTTCTTTCAGGTTCAGTTTATGCTCTCAAGTTGAGCTTGAGTCAATGAACATGAATTCTTCAGCTTCTGCAACTGTGTTGATGGTGAATTTGGACAATGGATTGAATGAGACAAGAGCTAAAGAGCTTAAATGGAGGAGAATTCAGTCTCTTGAGAGGAGTATCTCTCCAGTTGCAAATTCTTTGGTCAGATTCAGTTATAGTGAAATTCTTGCTGCTACTAATAATTTCTCAAAAGGTAAGAAATGAAATCTTTTGTTTTTGGTTTTGAATCTTGAAGTTGGTTTCTTGCTTGAGATTTTGATTTGTTCTTGTTGTGATGGGTAGGTAGAGTTTTGGGAAGGGGAGCTTTGAGCTTTGTCTTTAGAGGTAAAGTTGGGTTCTTGAGGACTGCTGTGGCAATTAAGAGATTAGACAAGGAGGATAAAGAGGCTTCAAAAGCATTTTGTAGAGAATTAATGATTGCTAGTTCTCTTTACCACTCAAATATTGTGCCTCTTGTGGGGTTCTGTATTGATCCGGAGGAGGGTTTGTTCTTGGTGTACAAATATGTATCTGGTGGAAGCTTAGAACGCCATTTGCACGGTATAATTTCTTGTTCTTTGATTTGGAAATTTGAAATTTGATTGAATTTGGTGGAATTTGAGTAATTTATGGAATACCCATTTGCAGATAAGAAGAAAGTAAAGGGAGGAGTCAAGGGTTCTTCAGGCCTTTCCTGGCCTGTGAGATACAAGGTTGCTCTTGGAATTGCACAAGCAATTGCATATTTGCATAATGGAACTGAGAGATGTGTTGTTCATAGAGATATTAAACCCTCAAATATACTCCTTTCTTCCAAGAAAATCCCAAAGGTAAGGGGGTTTGTTTTATGGTTTACAATCTCTCATTTAAGTGGTTCTGTGGTATTCGGAGTCAATTTTAGTCGACGCATGCTATTTTTATTGACCAATAATCACAATTCTGCTTGCAGTTGTGTGATTTCGGTTTAGCTACTTGGACTTCTGCACCTTCAGTCCCTTTCCTTTGTAAAACTGTCAAGGGGACATTTGGGTATGAGAAAAGAAACCATACATGTCTTTTTAATGGTTCAACAAATTTATATTTCTTTTCTAATTTTCTGATTAAATCTTTATTGCACAGCTACTTGGCTCCTGAGTATTTCCAGCATGGGAAAATATCTGATAAGACGGATGTGTATGCTTTTGGTGTGGTCCTTCTGGAACTAATTACCGGAAGGAAGCCAATTGAAGCAAGAAGGCCACCGGGGGAAGAGAATTTGGTCCTATGGGTAGGTTACTGAATTAATTTCCTTTAAAATTTCCGTTAGTCCCTTTGACTTTGTAATGCTTTATTGAAGGGCCCCTCTATAAGCTTTTCCATGAAGAGATAAGGCGTTCTATTAGGCAATGCCATAGTCTACAAGCCACATTCTGATCATACCTAATTAGAAGTCAATCCTTTAATTAGACATCCAGCGAACATCACAATTCTTAGTAAACTTTGAGCAAATATAACCTCTATCCTGTAGTTCTGTAAAAAGGATGAAATTTATGCATCAGTTTTTCCCTGCAGATTGTAGGGAAATCGATTGACAATAGAAACTGTTATACTGGTGGCTAGAATTCTAGGCTTTCGTTTGACATTTTCAATTCCATCTAGTTAACTTTCGACCTCGGTTATATTAAGCAGTTGTCATCTCAGAATCATGCACGAATTTGCCAAATTTGTTGTAATATCATGTAGAGGATGATTCTATTTGTTCTCATGGTTTTGCTATTTTGAAGGATCCTATCATATTACTAAATTTTACTATGATTTTTGCCTTAAAGCTCTAATAAAACCACGTGCTTTTGCTTTGGAAACAAGGCCAGTCATAGTAGGATTTGATTGCACTATGAAAAATCATTTCGACTTGGGCAAGTAGCAAACAAGCCTATCATAAATATTGGCCATTTGTTCGCAACATGATGACATTTGTTCTTTTATTATGAATAGTATCTGCTTGGCTTGGATGTGAAATTGAACATCATGGACCCTGCATTCTTTTGCAGGCTAAACCTCTATTGCAGAAGGGAAAAGGAGCCATTGAGGAGTTGCTTGATCCACGACTTGAATGCACTTTGAGAAATACAACTCAAATAATCCAGATGATTCAGGCTGCCACCGCCTGTGTAAGTAATGAAGAATCTCGAAGGCCAGGAATAGACGAAATTATTGGCATACTGAGAGGTGAAGAACAACCAATCTACTCAAACAGGAAGAAGTCCAATTTTTCTGGGATTATAGATTGTTACCCTCAACTACAACAGACAAAAAGTGAGATGAATAGTCACTTAGCCTTGGCTATGTTAGGAGTTTCAGAATTTGAGGATGATGATCACCTTTGTTGTCGTTAAAACATGGTATATTCGACTTTCTGATTTTTCTCTTTGGTGGTTTTGCTTGCCTTTTTTTTTCTCTCTCTGAAGAGAAAAAGCCTGGAAATCAGAATCAGAACGAGTGTAAAAATTGTAAGTAGGAAAAACCAGTTTGCTTAGAAGTGTGTAAATAGCTTCCATTCTGCTGCCCTTGGCTTCAATGGGCCAACAAGATAGATTTTATTTGAAGGCTAAACTTCTAATTTTATAATCTTGGAAGCAATATGCTGATTTTCTAGTAATCTTCCCTTGATGATTGTAAAGACTGAGAGTAATAGATTCATTTCAAGGTTAGACTTGTTATATTATATTTCTTAAACGCAACATGCAGATTTGCTTGTTTTCTTAACTTGTTGACAGTAGAAAAGCTTGAATATGATGCCTCTTATCGTTCATGCATGTGTTTGTTGGCATGAATCAAGTGGGACAAAGCAGTTCATCATGAAATGTGAATTCTGAGTTCTCGAGAGGCCATGACTTGCATGCTAGCATATGGTTTTTCACAAAATTGTTGTACCTGACCACAGAACTAGAAGATCATACTGTAGTAAATAGCCGAGGAATTCAGCATCCTATGACCATAAAATGATAGCATGACGATCACAGTCAATGGCTAAAATTAAGATGTTAGTCAATTTTTTGTGCATTTAAAATTTTCTGGAATAGGAGCCATTTTTCAGTATGGGATCCGAAAAGTGTGAACTGGCAACGTCTTGTTCGACCACAAATTTGTTGCGATATCACATCCAAATACTCGAGATACCTAATTTCACATATAGAAACATTAGTTGATAAAGATGTTTGTAGTGTAGCTACGAAAGCAAGTCTGTGTCAATCAAAATTCATTTAGACTTGCCGCTGCCTTAAACAATCATAGATTACAGCACATCTCAAGTAAAAACAACAAAGAAAAGGAAAGGATATATGTTGAAAGATTAAAATATCTTCGCAACATCCTTCATCAGGCCACTGTTAGCCTTAGCAAAATCTAAGAACTCCTGATATGAAATGGATCCATCACCATCAGTATCTATCTCAGCCATCATGCGCTTGACCTCCTCTGCTGTGACTGAGCCGAGGGTCTTCAAACAATCGCCCAGCTCTGCTGCAGAGATCTTGCCATCACCATTCAAGTCGAATCTTTTGAAAATACGATTCAGCTCAGCTTGTTCGTCAGCCATGTTGGTGTTAAAAGAGTGTCTTGATCCTGGTCTTGTAACTGAATGAGGATGATTGGGAGGTAAAAGAATTGGGTTTTTAAAGAGATGATTTCTTTGTGTTTAACTCTAAGTTCATCCAATGAATTCGGAAAAGGAATGGATTGCCCGAAAACTCTCAACTATTTTGTCCATAAATATCCATCGGTTGAAATGGACAAGTCTAAACTTAGAATTTGTTCAAAGAAAGGAGAAAAATGAGGACAAAACATGGGATGTGATTCGTATGACTCGACTCCTACAAGGAAACATAGGACGTGTCATTGGTTGAGACATCAGCTTGTCAATAATGAAGCGTTATAGTTAAAGCGATAACTACTGTAGATTTTTGTTCTTTGGGACTCGTGTTGAAACATTGCGAGTGTAGAAAAATGCCTAAATTTTGACAGGACTCATGGGAAATTTCTTTGGTTGTTTCAATAATATTAAGCTTTTCATTACAACATTACTTTGAAAGCAAGTCCTCCCTAAGAGAGCCTCCAAATTATTAAGCACTTGATATGTCTACTTGGAGGTCTCAGGTTCAAATATTGGAAGACTTGAGATTTACACTTAGAGATCTGGGTTCAAATCTTGGGAAAGGGAGTAAGAATGGGAAAAGTTACTTCCTTTTGTAGCCTAAGAAGTGTTGTAGAAAATTAAGAAATATTTGAGAGCAAATTAGATGATGCTCAATATTCAAGCAAACTTACAATATTGGTTTTGCAGTTATGTTGACGAGGGTCATATCATGGCTAGGTTTTCTGCAGGAAGCCAATAGGGAGAGAGAACAAGGCTTATACCAGCTGCAGATTGAATCATGAAATTGATCAATCTCATTAGATTCATTCTGTTTAAAAGATCACTGCTGATAGGAGTTTATCAAAATTTTGCGGGCCTTATTTGTCAAGAAGCACTTCATTAGTAGGGTGAAGGAGTCATATAAATTGCAGAGAAAAGGACAATAGAAATCACAAAAATTGTAAATTTATTTTATTGGAGGAGTCCTCAGCTGAATGTTTGCAATATGGTGTGAGACAGGGGGTTTGGTGTTACCTGCAAGAGTCAAATGATTTCACTCAACAGATTACGGTAAACTTACAACAATGAACTGGGTAGATATGTTTTGAACAATAGAATTAAATAGATCCTACACTACCACCACCCTCCATTGCAAGCATTGTCGAACAATCCAATGAATTGGAATGGAATTTATTACCTAATCACAAATATCACAAGAAACCCTATCCAACAGAATGAAGGATGGCACTGTGCACAGCTTCTCTGGTTGGTAAAGCTGGAATTGCACCTCTCCCCTTAACAGTCAATGCACCACAGGCATTAGCAAACATCAGAGCTTCTCGCAATCGGTCCTCATTCTTAAAGATTAAAATAAAATGGATCAGATGGTAAAGTGCTTTACGATGTTACAAGATGAAGTGCACTGTTTATTAAACAAGCAATCATGAAAACCAAAGACAATATTGCACTGTTTGCATGACAACATCAACCTGGAATGTCTGTAAATTAAAGAATATCATAAAATAATCCTACTGGAGATTGGAAACCAAAATTGCATAAATAGATACATAAATTTTAGATGCTGGAAAGAAAAATAAATTGGGAGTTAAGCAATTTTGAGAAGTTCTCGGCATTGTCTAGCTCTATGAAGTCCTTGCATGGTTATAACAAACTCCCTACCAAATATTATCCCTTCTAAATACAGCCGAAGATCAAGTTTCTTCTATAAAAAGGAAGAAAGCACCCTATATTCGTTATATGTTTGCATGAAATGATAGAACAGGAGTGTATACGGGTACTGAGATTGCCAAGGGCAGATCCAAAACTCAAATTTTTTAGTCAACAGTTGATATATTGCAAAGGTAGGATTATGCAATACATTCGAACAAGCAAATTTGCATTATGATGAAGATTCCAAATGCATACACGTAAATTTGTGCATGCACACATACAGCAGCAATATTGACCTGAAGAAACTACCTTTTTTAAATCAAATTGTTAATGGCATTACCTGGAGCAAGGAGAAATCCTTAGCTAGCTGTGACAATATTCCGGCAACAAATGCATCCCCAGCACCAGTGGTGTCCACAGCATCTACCTTTAATCCCTTCACTCTCCCATTGAACTCCTGAAAACATATAAGAAGCTACTTAGCAACAAATTTAGAAGAAAAGGTTATCTGCAAGCTAGGGAGATTTCACAAGGCATTAGCACTATGTTAGAAGCTCAATCAGTTCAAAAATCATAGTAAATTTTCCCTAAATTTACACGTCAAATCCTCCAAATTGATAGAAGGACAGCATTTTATAGCTGGTCTCAACAGAACAAACTTACATAAGCAGAGAAGGTTTTTATCAAATTGCAGTTTTATGTTAGAGTTGATGAAAATATTTTCCAGTCACAATAATTCTCTCTAAATCAAAATATCTGGATTGCTTCTCCATGCCTGTTGTTCTACAATGTTACATGCTGCAGCAAGACCCTCTCTTTCTCTCTCATGAACAAATTCCTGTCATCACCCAATCTCAAAGAAATAATACAGCAAAACAATATTTCTCAGTGGCATGCATGGTGAGGAGAAGGAGGGAGAGTATTGTAAGTTGTAAAAGTAAATGCTAAATGACATATTTTTAGGACTTACTTTGGTGTAATACCTGCAGCCCTCAGGCCCTTCGGTGACAAGAAGCAATTTATGATTTGGATGGCATAGCTTACGAACAACAGCATCATCATATGGATCTTCTCCTTTAGTCAAGAAGGATATCTCTTCTTCACTTACCTGAAAGACATAATTTAAATGTGACCGTCAGGTGTTTTTTTATCCAGATTGTGTTATGTACATTAGGGGAAGGAAAACAATTGCCAAAAAGAACCAAGGTGCTTACCTTAATAATATCAGCAGTGTCCCAAATGCTCAGAATCCCTTCTCTGGCACTCTCAGCAGAAGGCCATAGTGGAAGCCTCAGGTTAGGATCGTAGGATAAAACAACACCTGCATCCTTGGCAGCTTTTGCTGCAGCAATGTGAGCTGATTTGCATGGCTCTGTTATAAGACTTATAGAGCCATAATGAAATATTTTTGCCTGCCAGGGGACAGAAAAGAGGAGAAACAAACGATTTTTTATCTTATCTTTTTTAAAACCAGTGGGGCTTAAATCTAGATTTTAAATTAGTTTTATCTAATAAGGTGCCCGAAGAGCAGTAAAATCTTCATAAGTTCTAAAAGAATGAAAAACTACAATCTCTGTCATTCAAATTAGAAACGTAATTCATACGTACATTTAAAGTTTACATAGTGAAGTTAAATCTATCCTTCCATTTTGGGTCTGTTAGGTGTTTCTTTCTAAGAAACTACAGACTTTTGTGTCCAAGAACCATTTCTGCTCTTTGATTTATCATTCTTTTATAAAAAATTCAAAAGGTGCCTTAGCAAATGACTTCATTTCAAAAAAATATTTAAAAGATGATGAAGATGAAGATGAAGATGAACAGACAATATTTGAATCGCATCTTCCGTTTTAAAAATCTTCTATAAAAGGGATTTTTTGCGCTTTTAATTTTTAAGCAATCATTACAAGTATAAACCTCACATACCTTTCTAATCAAATCTAGATCAAGTTCAGCTTCTTGAAACAACATATCTGCACTAGGATTACGGTAAAACATGAACTCACGTTCCCCATCACTCCTTAATGTAACAAATGCTAAAGCAGTCCGTGCACCAGGATCAAAACGCATCTCTTCACTGTTCACATTATTCTCCTTTAATATTTCAGCAAGCATGTATCCGAACTCATCTTCACCAACCTGTGCATGTCGTACAAAAGATTCGAGATCTGAGAGAATAGACGAGAGATAAAATATCTATGGTTAATTTTTGTCGAAAACACACAAATATGATAAATAAAAGCATGGAATGGCATGCTATGAAACTGACGCACAGTTAATTTTTTGAAGAAAGAGGGAATAAGCAATCCTTTGTCAAGAATACACTAGGTTGAAAGAACAATCAATATAACTATGTTGTTAACAAAGCGAACTATTGCTTTGACAGCTCCTGGCTTTTACAGATAGGTTCTATCTCCAACTATTCATAGTCTATAAGCAATAAATCAATTTCCATTCAACTCAAAGAGGTTGATGACATTTTTTCACTGTTAGATATCATTAATTTCGAGGAAAGAGTTTGTGGTAGTGGATGCACAGAAGCATTTAAATTCCTAAGCAGCTGTGCCCTACAAACTCAGAAAACTCCTGGAATCAGCAAGCAAAATCTCTGTGAAACAAGAAGGTTGTTCTGTGTCTTGAAGCAATTAAGATGAAGAAAGTAAACATAGATGACACTATAATAGGATCCTAAATTTAATACCACAATCCTAGATTACACAGCCCTATAGAATCAAAAAACCAGTCAGGCAGAAGTTTTAATCCATTCCTTAACAAATTGGCTATTTGAAAATGAATCTATCCTTGCTTCCTTATTTTCTACTCATTTCCACAAAAATGGATTGATATTATCATAATGGTACCTTCCCAATAAATGCTGATGAGCCACCAAGACGAGCAATACCGACAGCAACATTAGCAGGTGCACCTCCTGGAGCCTTTTTAAATGCTGGCGCATCAGCCAATGAAAGTCCACTAAAGGTAGGGACAAAGTCAATTAGCATTTCACCAAAGCAAACCACAAGAGAGGAATCTTTCGTTTCTGGTAACCCATCACCTCCTAATGCTTTACCTAGTATGCATAAGAAAGGAAGCAAATTAAAGGGTCAAGAGTCACATAACAAGTTGATGAAAAGTTGAAAAAAGAGAGAAAAGAAGTTCATATATCTAAATAGATAGCAAAAACAGAAACGTAATGCATTTGGTAAAAGAAGCTGATGCCCAAGGGAATTTGAACTATAAAGGCAAAAAAAATTTATTCTCTCTTCCTGTCCTTCCAGCAGAATATATTTCTCAAGATAGCAGAATAAAGCTCAATGAGCCAAAACTATTAAAGAATTTGAAGCCTCTTGATGATGTGACATCTACAAGATTGGAACTTTACAGGCCTCAAAAGCTCAAAAATATTCTCTGACTCTTCTAAATCTATCATTTAACAAAACAAGTTAAAAACAAAAACACAACCTTAGATTCAACTTAACATCTACTACGCTATTATGAGACTAAAACTGGCAGAATCCAAAACTTGATCATCTAAACTTCAATTTAAAAGACATGGCCAGTCGTTTCCAACAAGAATCAGTGCAATTTAAACTGACTATGAAGAACCCATCAAGGAAAAAGCACTTTGACATACATCAAAACTCAAGATAAACTGAAGTAATTTATGATTCCAAGAAACAAAAAATGCTTACTTTGGAAGCTCAATCGAGGAATGGAAACCGAAGAAGAGCAAGAAAAAGATGAGGCTTTAACATTCCCTCGTCTAAAACTAAGTTCTTGACGAGAAGTCAAAGTCACACTACCAAAACGAAAAGCAGGAGAGTGAACAGCAGCCATGCACTTCAAAATCAAAACTTGCTAACAAATTGTGGTTGCTTAGTTGTTAGAGAGAGATATGGAGTGTTTTGAGGGGTGGAGGGAGTGTTGTTGGATAAAAACAATGGAGATTTGAGCGGAGGATGCAAGAGAGTGAAGTAGTTTGTCGTTTGTCAGCTTGTGGATTATGGACAAGACAACTCCTTTCACTCTTGCTCTGCGTAGTCTGTTGATGGCTATTCCCTGGTCTCTCGAGTCAAATTCGAATGCATAAATTTATTTTTATGTTTTAAAAATGATATAAAAGAATTTTGAAGTTTTTTTTATATACATGTTGATATTAAAAATAGTTTTAAAAATAAAAAATAATATTAATTTAATATATTTTTAAATAAAAAATAATTATTATCAAATAAAAAAAGAAAAAAGAATATAATCTTTTTTTTTATCCTCTTTCATAATTCATAATAATATAAATAGCATTAAGAACTTTCTGATGTAAAAAAAAAAAAAAAAGAGTTTGTGACACTGAAATAGACTCCTAATAAAATTAGAACTACCTCTAATATCTCATACTATTTTTTCAATATATAATCTAATGTTAAAACAAAATAAAACAATTTCTTATATTAAATGAGTATTATAACTAAAATTAGTTTTTTTTCCTATTTTTTTCATGATTCCCTTAAAAAAAAAGATTTTGATTATGGTATTGCTGGTTGTTTAGATAGCAATCCAAAACACCTTGTATTGTTCGAAATCAAAACAATTGTAAGTAAGAAAAACCTACAAATTACTTATTATTTTGTTAATGGTTTAAGGTTAAAAGAAAGGAAATTGAGCAATCATATTTCTAAGGCCCAAATTTTACAATCAATTTCATAATGATAATTGGTTTGTTGATCCTTAAATAGTTACATAATGACTTTTTATTTTATTTTTTTAGAATTACATAAATAAAAATTATATTCAAAACCAGGGATCATTTATAAGATTAATTGTTTAAAAAAAAAAATACATTTAAATGATTCAATTAACTATAGAAAATAAGATTTTTAGTATTGACTGGAGATGTGAAACAATGTACATATACATGATTTTTTTAAAGAATAATTCATTCCTAGGATTTTTTTAAAGAATAATTTTTTAAAGAGTTTTTTGTTAAATAACATAAAATATTAATTTAAATAGATTTTTAATAATTTAGTTGACTTAATCAAACTTAAATCTAATTTAGACTTGATCAGATGAACAAAAAAAAATTGATTGAAATATT